TCTGTTTTCACCTGCGGCAGCTGCTCGCCATGTGGCAACTGCAAGAGATGAAGCCGGCTATTCACGGCGGCTCTGCGGGCTGGGTCTTTTGGCAGACCAGTAACATTTTATTTGCATATTTGAATGTTTGTTATTTGCATAATGAATATGCAAATGTGCAAATAAAATGTTGCTGGTTCGCCAAAAGTTTGTGAATGGGTTTGCCAGTCCGCAGTATAAAAAAGCTTGGAAACCACTGATGTAAGGCATGGGAAGGAAGGAGTCGGAGCAAAACTCAATACACAGCGTTGTAGTGTATCTGCCATTAAATATATGGGGGTAGTTATTACTCTTGATCTACTGTAGGACTCCCACCAATCGCAATGAGTATTGTGCATATCTATTAAGAGGTCTACCATATATGGCCTATAGGTCTGGATGCCACATTATTAATTAATTATTATAATTGTTGTTAATCATGTTCATTCCAGTAGTGGCCAGGAAGCAGGTGAACTAGGCACTGTACAAACAGAGCTGCAGTAGACAGGCCCCTGGAAGGGTTTCCATTCTCAAGAGAGTGCAAAAGAAGGGGTGTAATACATGATTTTTTTGTGGGGAACTGGAGTCTGTTAAGTGGGGATTAGCTGAAGGGAGAGGGGTGAGCAGGACAGAGCCGATGACAATAAGAAGGAGAAGAAAGTGGAGCAGATGTGGAGTAAAGCTGAGGTGAAGAGAGCATGAGGCAGAGTAAAATGGGGTTTGAATCAAACATCCAGTCAGCACTGGAGAGGGAATGCAGCACAGGAAAGGGAATGCCTTCACAACATCACTGTTCCTAAATGTCCCATTAATTTTCTGATAGGAATGCAATGAGAAAAAAATTCACTTATTTCAATCATTTTCCAAGGTATGGCAAGGCTTACGAAAAATGCATGCTGTCATTAGTAATATGGAAAGACTACCAACCTCACTTAATCTGATTTCTTTGGCAAGGTCCTTGATAAGTTGCGCTGGTTTAAAGTGTTCCGGGAGTTCATCTTCATGCTCTGCTAGAGCCTAGAACAAAACACAGCCACTGCGCTGTTGTCAAATTCTTAATATTATTTTCACACCCAATCAAAAGACTTGTCAACTGACCTATCTCTATTTTTTTCTACCTCTTCAAATCAAGCAACACAAACTTTAGAACTGAATCAGTTAATAGAATGGGACAAACATGTTTTTACCCAGTCCGTGTATTATTTCTGTTTCCTGTGGATAACTACTTATAAAATCAATGGTTCTTTTCTAATCCTTACGGGTGATTTCACAACGGTAACACTTTCTTGCTTTCTCCCTTTGCACCTTCCTTTAATAAATTCATTTCCAACAGCTTCACCCGGAAGACAGGTTAGAGAACCTCTCCGAAGCGTTTCTTAATTGAGGGTAATAGCTTAATCCCTTGCTGCCAGAGTGGATCGGGTTCCCTGGTAGCACTGATGGAATTTGCACTCATTATACCATGTTACAACATCCCAAGCCCTGATGTCAATAACTGCACCAGACCTCTAGGCATTATTATTTGCTTGCACTTTTTTGTCCCACTATTTCACATCTGCTTAGCAGGCAGACCAGTGGTTCTCAACCAGGGGTACACATACCTCTGAGTGTATGCAGAGGTTTTCCAATGGGAACTCAATCCCTCTAGATCAGTGTTTCTCAACCTGGAGGCTGCTGTCCCTGAGAGGGGAATCACAGGATAGGTTTTGGGGGGAGGGTCACAACAAGTGCAGGATTGGCATTAAGAGGTGGCAAGTGAGGAAATTCCAAGGGACCCATGCCCCAGGGAGCCCTGTGAAGCTAAGTTCCATGCTTCACCTCCACTGTCTGGGGCTTGGGCTTCAGACAAGGCCGACAAGTATTACAATGAAATAGAAGTACAATATCTACATTGCAATCGATTTATTTTATACTTATATGGTAAAAATGAGAAAGTCAGCAATTTCTCAGTAATAGGATGTTGTGACACTTGCATATTTTGGGGTCTGATGTTGTAAACAAATGGTTTTTAAGTGAGGCAAAATTTGGGGCACGCAAAACAAATCAGATTCCTGAGAGGGGTGCAAGTAGCCTGGAAACGTTAAGAACCACTGAGGTAGACGAACAGAGTGACAGTGAAGAGAAGACTTCCAAAACAGAGTCTGCCCTTCTTGACACAATAATATGGCTATTCTGACACCCAAAGGACATGGACTGCAGAATATTAGGCCAGGTCTGCACTAGAGCCAGCAGCTTAGCTTAAGGTATGCAACTCTAGCTATGTAGAATACATAGCTACAATCAGCTTATCTTAAGCCCAGCTTGGTGGCATCTCCACAGCGGGAGGCCGACAGGAGCAAATGCTCCCGTTGGCTTCTCTTACTCCTCGCAAAATGAGGAGTACTGGACATCGGCGGGGGCACCCTCTGAGTTTGATTTAGTGAGTCTTAACTAGACTCACTAACTGGAACTCTGGGAGATTGATCACAGCAGCAGCATTCTTCCATGTAATAAAGACAAGCTCTTAAGGACCAACACTTGAGTCAGCTTTGCTCCTCCATTGCTGTGGGTGCATCTAAGCTTTTGCACATAAATAAGGGATAGACACGTAAGTGATCTAAACTCTGTGCCCTCCACTGATCATGCCCTGCTAAAACAGAGCTTTGTCGGAGAATCTGATTTTACACTGTGTCAATCACAGCAGCAGATTCCCTAATTGGTACGCTGGGATGTACTGAGACATTCAGCCGCTAATCTTAAGAGACATGGAAAAGCAAATCAATTCTATGCAGGAACAGTCATGAAACAGACACACTTTGTATTAAAGTTCCAGTAGTAAATAGCTCATAAAGGACAAATGATAGCTTAGCAAATTAATAAACTGCTATAGAATCCAACCGATTAAAAGGTGGCTTATAACCCTGGCATAAAATCAATTAATAAAATCTGCTGATACGTTTATAACCCCCTATACTATTGTCATGGCTGTGACATGCTTATGACATCAATTAATCACTCATTAACCCTTTATATACTAGTTATAAATGGGAACGTTATGAAGTGACACACGTGGACTCATAACTGAACGTTCATGAGTTGCAGCCTGTAGCATGGTGGGCTTCACTGCCACGGGCACCTCCTACTGGTCACTCAGGGAATTAGCTCTTTGGTGCTGGAATGCCCCCATCTGGCTGGTGTTATGCCTGCTGTTGCCTACCCTTCGCCACTCTGTTAGGACCCACGTCCCTCCCAGACTGTGGCGTCCTCCCTCTGGGTATTGCCCTGCTACAGTGCCCCCACACTTTGGGGTCCTCCCACTCTGGGAAGCTCCAACCCCTTGTGCTCGCCTTGCCTCACTGACCCACTACAAGTCTTCATCTAGCCTCTTACCTCGGAGCAAAGCACAGTCTGAAATAGCCGCTCATCACTGGCAACAGGTTGAGGACCTGCTGCCTTTGCCTACAGTGGCTGCCTCTCTGCAGCCCTGCTAGCTTCAGAGCTTGCTTTAGGTCCTGTAGCCTGGGAGTTTGCCTGGCCAGAGCTTCTCCAGCCCTGCCTGCCTTTCCTCAGCTCTGCCCTAAGTCAGGAAGCCGCTAGCTTCCCTGGCAGCTAGGTCCCTCCTGCTCCACATCAAGAGTGAGTCTGTCTCTCCCCCTCCAGGATCCTTTATTTATACTGCCCTCAGCTGGGCCCTAATTGGTTCATACCAGCCGCAGCTGCTGGCTCCACAGTGCCAGCCCTCTCCCGGGCTGGGTTTTAACCCCTTAAAGAGCCAGTGCGAGGCAGACGCCCTGTCACACAGCCATAGAAGTGAGGCAGAGTTGATCTGACAAGACGCATTCCTGATTACTTTTTCCTATTGCTTTTCTTAGTTAGGAGCAAGAAGCCAAAGCAGAAGAAAAAAAAAAAGACTTGACTGGAGCTAGAAATGCTGTTTCTCTTTCCTTGACCAGCTCCATTCTCCTTTCCACATTGCACCTCTTTATCCTTGTGGGAACCACCAGAACATGTGCACAGCCGTATCTCTCTCCGAGAAGGAATGTGCCACCCACTTCAGTCCCCTCCTGGAGAGACAACTTCCACTGACAGGAACTTTTGTAATAGCCTCTACTGAAACAGTTGTAACTTTGGTACAAGTCTGTATTGCCCATAGGCGTCACGTGCTAAAAACTCTTCTCCTGACAAGTTTACAGCAAGGCACATCGCTTTTACTCCTACTCCAGTGGCTCCTAGCCTTTTCGGGGATACAGATCCCTTTTCAATCTACTAACATTTTACATCCCCTTCTTCCCCCGCCAAACAATATGGCTGTGCCTGCAACGTGCATGTCCCTCAGCCCAAGCTGCTTGCTAAGCCGCGGGAAGCAATGCGGGTTTAAGGATGTGCTCACTGCAAGAGGCTCCACACGGACCCCCTACATTATCACCGGACTACAGGTTGGGAATCACTGTCCTACACTAAAAGAAGGCATCAGGCCAGATGTTCAGGAGGTGTAAATGGGAGTAGAACCACTGACTTCAGTGCAGCTGCTCAGATTTACACCAGCCAAGGAAAATGTCAAAATCCGTCAAGCTGTGTTTCCATCGACACTATCTGTAAGAGCCACACCAAGGCAAAAAAATCTGTGTAAAATTCAAAAACAAAGGGAATTTGACTGATTAAAGGAAGGGAAGAGATTACTGGGATCACTCATAACAGGGCTCTCCTTTAAAAAGACTGTCCCTTAGAAAGAGGGTCAGAGGGTTGGTGATCGCATATGGTGCCTTCTCTCTATATATATGGCTGAATTATATACCAGGTAAGTAGTTTATGAAAGCGCTCTCCATTTGACAGTTGCTGGGTGGCCTATGTGCAGTGACGGGTGGTATTAGTTTTTGTCAGCAGACTTCACCAGCCACGGACTGAATGGAGTATGGAGACTGAACTAGCCTTGTACCTCTGCAAGTGGCTCCTCTCAATCAGGGCTGAACTACACCAGAAGTAATGCCACACAGGTCAGCTGAGGTTAACTGGTGTATTTGAAAGGAGAGTCAAGCCTACACGTTCTTGAATCTTTTGAAGTCTTCTCTAGCTTCAAGGCCTACAACTTGTCAATTCATCTTGGTTTTCAAGAAGTAGAGACAACTTCCATTTTTGTGCACATAATCATACACCTGACATTTTTGTATCACAGGCTATCAACTGCTCCACTAATAAGACAGCCCTCTACCTCCTTCTCTCTAAGGGTGTGTCTACACAGCAAGGCTTACCTCAAAATAAGATATGCAAATCGAGCTATGTCAACAGCATAGCTTATTTCGAAATAGCTTATTTCAAAATTGGGAGCAGCTACAATGCACTTATTTTGAAATAGAGCTCTCTTCCTCTGACTTCCCTTACGCCTCATACAATGAGGCTACGTCTAGACTGGCCTCTTATTCCTACGAGATCCTCCGGAAAAGGGCTTTATTCCGGAGGATCGCGCCAGTCTAGATGCTTTTTTCCGGCTTTTCCCCAAGCCGGAAAAAAAGCGGCGGACATGTTTATTTAAATCCCGCAGGGGATATTTAAATCCCCCGCGGATTTCCCTATTCCAAAGTTGGAAATTAGCATGGCTATTTCGTAATAGGAGCCAGTCTAGATGTAGCCTGAGGGTTACAGGAGTTGGAGTAAGAAGTCCTTCAGCTCAACAGTATTTCGACATTATTTTGAAATAATGGCCTGCTGTGTAGACGCAGACTACATTATTTCCAAATAACACTAGTTATTTCAAAATAATGTTGCTGTGTAGACGTACCCTAAGAAACTAGGATTACTGATTTTGCTGATTTTGCTTCTGTCTTCTTTGTTCTTGCTACAACACAAACCAATGAAATAGATTTAAAAAAAAAAAAAGATTTTCCTACCTGTTTTTTAGTCCACGACCTGAAAGCACCATTAAGAATTTTTGCCCCTTGGACTAAATGAGAAGAAGGCTGCTGTCCAGCTTTGTGCAAACCTAAACAAAGGAAATATTCAGTGATGGTGGCCAATTTTCTATTTAAAATTCTTTATTAAAAACTGTCTTGCTGTGCACTTGCGGTGGATGAGCAGGGGTTTGCAGCCAGCAGGTCACACTCACTGAAAACTAATCATATCTATAACTTTTATAGTACTAGTGAATATATTTACTGTGCCTTAATCCATTCCTCAACCAGCCTCAATTCCGCTCTGTTTCGGTATGTTACGTCTCTATTTGAGTTTACACTGGAAATTAGCTGGTTCCCAGTCGAGATGTAAAAGATTGTTTAAAAAGATAACCATATAAACACAAAAAATCCTAGTGGTTACACGCACTGCGGACTCTGCAGTATAACTTCTATACTGCAGAGTCTGCGGTGCAACCAGCTCCCTGGGAGTAGGCATGTCACAGTAACAGAAACCAATAGGCTGATACTTATTGGTTAACCATTTTAACGGTTACACTTTTACACCCCTAATTCCCAGTTAGCTCAAATTAACTACCAAGTGTGAACATGCTAGTCTAGACACTGTACAAACAGCAAACACTGATCCTATGGTGCAAATGTTTCTGGTTTATGCTAGTGCTTGGATTCTCATTGATTTTGGTGGGCTTTAAATCAGGCCCTTTGCCTCGTATATCTGCTGCTGTCTTTTACTTCTGCTAGAATTAAATAATATCGTCAACTGTTCTGGTTACTTTAAATAAAAAACTGGTATCTAAAATTCTTCATTAAAGAGGGCTTCCACAGATTAGACGCCTTTGCTTTCATCAGACAAATAATTTATCTTTTCTCTTGGAGATATAATGTACCTTATATAATTCTGCTTTTTATAGTTTTATAAGTTGACTGCTAAGACACAAGGAGACCCTCCTGAGGCCCACATTTAGATGAAACTTAAGTCTTATTTAAGTATATCCATTTCTTTTATTTATTTAAAAAAATCTCTGTGTGTTTCTCTCTGGATGATGCTATGACAAGAAATTAAGGTGAGGAGCAAAATAATTACAGTAAATAAAACTAATTTGTGTGCTGCCTATCTGTGTGAGGTTATATAATATATCTGTTAACAATGAAGCAATCCAGTTTAGCAGCTCCTGTGCTCCCAGAAAACTTTACTTTTCAGTGTCTGCAAAGGTCACGTTGGCATTTCCAAATGACTGGATTCTGCAGCCTTTACAACCAGATGATTAGCAATTTGCTGCACAAGTAGTTCTGTTAAAAACAACACAGCACCTGAGAAACAAGGCACTACTCAATGTAAGGTTGGCAGAATTTGGTGCTAATTTAGACAAGGCATGACTGTAAATCTGGCATTCAGACTCTTGGAAAAAGCTGCACTGCCTTGCCAAGGGATTTAGTTATAATACAGTTATAATACAGTTGTCCTGTGATAGAGCTTAGTTCCCACTAATTGTGTTTTAAACTCTCCTAAACTGTTTGGGGCTTTAGCATAGATAAACAGCAGAGATAAGCTCCTCTCTGCATTACAAAAGGTAATAAAGCTTTTAAATGATTTAGGGAGGGGTGTTGCTGTACTGTAACTGGCATGGTTATCCTAGTAGGTTAGAAACGATCAAAGTCAATGAGTACTTTCCAAATTTGTGTATGTACTTTTTAGCCTACACACCAGCGATGCACATTTATTCCTTACCTTCTGCTGATATCTTAAGTAAAATGCAAAGACTTGATTCTGCTAGATCAAAAACTAGTGATTTTGGCCTCTGTCCATCTTTTGGCTTGCACACCGGCAGAAAATAATGGAAACTCTATCTTCACATAACCACAGCTGAGAAAACAAAGTGCACGGAACAGTGTTCTACCTTTGAATGTCTCTAGTAGATGCTTTCCCATGTACCAACATGCAGTTTCAAAGTTTGGAAACTGGGTTAGGCTGACAATTTTCAACCGTCTTTCCACCTCGTACGCTCTGTGATACAAAGCAAAAATGCACATTAAGTGTAATGACCTGCAAACAGCATTACACGTGAAAGAGAAAAGGATAGCTCATTGACAGACTAAAATGCAAACATATTTGGATTTTTTTCCCCAAGGTTTGTATTTTTTAATCAACAAGGCTGTAATAAATCCTAAAACACAATGTTAAAATAACACAAGTAAAAAGATACAGTAATTCCTCATTTAACACTATAGATATGTTTCAGAAAATGATCGTGTTAAGTGAAAACGTGTTACGCGGGGTCAATTTTCCCATTGAAAATAATGGAAAAGGTGGGGGTTGCGTTTCAAGCAGTGGTGTTAAATGAGGAATTACTGTACTGTAAATTAAGGACGGACAATTTGTCTAACCTCAGAAGAGACCTTTATTTTTGGTAAGGTCTCCAGCTTAAGAATGCTAAGCACTGGGTAACTGACTAATCAAATAGTTGATGTATTTTGCATAGACTATTCAATTAGTCGATAGGGTGGCTCCGCCTTTGAAGTGTAGCAACAGCAACTTCAAAGCAGAAAGCACCACATGGAGCCTGGGGTCAGCTAGGGACTCACTCACCCCGGGCTCCGTGTGGTGCTGCCATTTTGAAACGCCACGAGGAGCCAGATGCAGGGCTTCCCCCCAGCATTTCAAAGCAGCAGCGCTGCATGAGCCTGGGGTCAGCTGGGTAGTCCCCAGCTGATCCCGAGTTCCCTGGTGTTTCAAAGCGGCAGCGTCACATGGATCATCCCGGGCTCCACATGGCGCTGCCGCTTTGAAGTACCCCCTCTCTCTTATAGAGGCAGCAAGGGGGAGGAAAGCGACTAGTCCACTATCCTGTAGACTATCCAATAAGCACTTGCTTATCAGACAGTCGACTAGTCCTTCGCATCCCTACTCCAGCCGGGCTATTCAGAGGGTGGCCTATATTCAGCAGGGTGCACAGTGTGTTGTAAGGTGCCTCTCCCAATGTGATGTAGCATTTATCTTTTTTCCCAGTGCCCTCCTGTGTAAATTAAAACACCAGACTGTAGGTCTCCTCTGCAAGGGGGGAGCATGTCAGCAGCACGTGGAGACATACCCAGGTCACTCACAAATTGATAGCCGTCAATCTATGGCAACAGAGACTTCAGAGAAGGCCCGCTTGGAACCCTGGGTAATTACTCAAATGGCTAGCCCATGTGGAAGTGCGTGATGCCACAGCCTCAGCACTACTGGAATGTGAACTAGCCAGATCAGCAGCAGAGTGCAGGGTAAACAAGGTTAAACAGACTTTACCCCACTTCTCATTTGGGGAATATGGAATTTATGTTATTCAACCACTTCTTTTTTTACAATGATACCACTGAGCCAGATTGGAACTAGCCAGGATGTGTCTACACATTTGCCATTAGACCCAACAATCCACGTGCAGGGATACCCATAGATACCCTAATCTAATCAAGTGTGAGGGTAAGTAATGTCTTGGAGAGTCTAAGTGCAAGTGGGTTTAAGAACGCAGAAGTGCCTAACTTTTGCATTACATCTGACTTTGGCTTGTAACACACATGGATATAATTATTAAATAGTCAAGCTAATTCTTAGAAGAGAGTATGGCTCAATTCATGCTCTTTTTTGATCTGTAAAGGAACTCTCTGAGGGTACGTCTACACTACAGCACTAATTCCAACTAACTTAGTTCGAATTAGCGCAGCTAGACTTAAAAACTAGTTCGAATTAGCGTTTTGCTAATTCGAACTAGCATGTCCACACAGAGTGGACCCTGAACAGAGGTTAAGGATGGCCGGAAGCAGTGCCGGCAGGGCATCAGAGTAGGACTTAGAGCGTGGAGATGCTGTCTCAGGCTAGCCGAGGGCTGTGCTTAAAGGGTCCCGACCCCCACCCCGGACAGACAGTTCTCAGGGGTTCCCCGCTAGCATTGCCCGGACTACCCACACTGGGCACATCACAGCACTCGGCCATCAG